TTTTCTTGGGATTGCATTAAATCTACATATCAGTTTTGGGAAAATGGCCATCCTACCAACGTTGCTACTGCTTATCCAGGACAGGCTAGGTCTGTCCACTTCCCAATGTCTTTGTCATGGCTTGTGTCCAGATGTCTACCCAAGGTCTTATCTGATCATAAGGAGGGTTTTTCAGGGATGGTCGGATCTATGGTGTGTGATGCTGGCATTTAGTGTGTGGTGCTAGGATTAAGAATGCCCCACCCTGCCTGTGGGTGGCACTGCTGAAGGGGAGGGTACCCAGGATGAAATTTAAAGGTGGGCTTGGGTGCTGCTGCTGCTGCTGCTGCTGCTGCTACTTCCCTGCCTTGCTGCCCTTGGCTGCATAGTTTTCCCACTGTCATCTCATTATTTTTTCCTTTTTTGTTTAACTGCCCACCTTGTTTGTGGTATTCATTCCATGTGATTTTGATTTGTTTTGCTTTGTTTTGCTTTGCTTTGCTTGTTGGCCTGCTTGTCTCTGCCTTGGATATTCTTGAGTATATTTGGAGTTTTGCTTTGGGGCTTATGAGTCCCTCACAGTGTTCTTTGTGAGGAAATGTCCTTGTTTGTCCCTCAATTTCAACAGTTGTGAAGGATGTATTATTTTGCATGACAGTTGTGTGTTGTTGTTGTTGTTGTTTTTTCAGGGCTTGACACACTTCACATAAAGCTCTCTTGGCTTTTAAATTTTGTGCTGAAAATTCTAATATAGTCCTAATGGGTTTGTTTACATCCATGTGTGGGGGTTTTCTCTTTTTGCTTATAGCATTTAACATTCACTCTCCCTTTATTCCTTTTTTTTTTTACTGTGTGGTGTCATGGGGGCTTTTCTCCCCCATGGAAATCATACAATGCTCTGTAGCCTTCACATTCTTGTATGTTTCATTCTTTCCTCATACTTGGAAAATTTTTCTGACATGATTTCTATAAGTGGATTTGTTCACTCCATGTGTGCTGTTTTCTAATTTTCTCTACTCCAATTAGTCTTAAATTACTCTTCTTAGCCTCATGTAGTATCTACTGGGTGGATTCTTCTTGTTCTGTAATTGTTTAAGTCTGCTTTGAGTAAATTATTATGAATTTCTATTTTGTCTTTGATTTCTAAAACTATTGCTTCACATTGGTCATTTTTTCTGTTCAGGAAATTTGTAGAAATCTTGACCTCAGGCATTTGTTTGGCATTTTTATACAGGGTCTGTATCTTCAGAAAATTAGTCATTCATGTTTTGAAGCATTTTGGTCATTTCTTCCAATTTCTTGCTTCTCTCAAATACATATTGGCCACTTTGTGCTGTGTGTTAGTTTCTCTATTTTGGGTTTATTCTTTCTGAACTCACTGCATTTACCTATTTTCTCTGTAATTATGATTAATCCACTGGTATTGTAAGGGGAACTGATTTTTGCAGGTACTTCTCCTAAAGAGAAAGATAATATCGCCCCCTTCACTTTTACCCTTGGTCATGGTGGTGCCCCCATCTTGAAAGCGAGACCATCACACCTGCATGTCAGAGACACAAGGGTGAAAGGGTCTGGGCTCCATCTCGGTGTGTCCTCAGCACCCTCTGCTGCTTACTTTAGCTCCTAACTCTCTGAATCTGAATTGCTTGTGGGGTGCAGAAGGAGACACGGACGGAAAAGGGGTAAATCAGTGCTCAGACAGAGGTGGCCTCATGCCTCATCTCCCAACTGCAGTCCAGTGGTGGGGGTGACACACAGTTCAGGGAGACGCAGTAAGTCAAGGGGCCTTTTGTGTTTCCACTCAAAGCTGTGGCAAGGAGAACACAAGACAGCACAGCTCTGTGAGCTTAGAGTCAACCACAAAGAAGACAGCAGTCACTCTGGAGGCTGAGGCACAGAAACGCAAGTGGGAGCTCAGGCTGGGCAATTAAGTATTTAACAAGACCCTCTTCAAAATCAAAATCAAAAAGGACTGAGCATGCAGCTTAGTGCCCAGGTCTCGTGTTCAATCCTCAGTACCTCAAAAAGAGAAAGAGAGAAAAGAGGCGAGAGGGAGGGAGAAGGAGGCAGAGGGGAGATTGAAAGGGAGGAGGAAGAGGAAATGGAGAAAAAGAAAATGAAGTAAAAAGAAAAAAATAAATAGGAGCCAAGTTTGACATAGAGGAAGATGCAGCTGATACTGCTGAGAAGCTCTTGGATCCGAGGTGTAAACAGAGACATTCCCGAGTGTCCCCCAGCCAAAACCCAGTGGATCTGAGGCTTCCTTTGGGAGGAAAGTGGTGTTACTCCTGGAGTCCTGGGTGCCCCGAAGCCAATCCCCTGCACTGGGCTCCTGACTCCTGGGCCCTGAGGAAGAGGAGGCATGAGGGATGCTGGAGAGTAGCTGGCAAAGGGAGAGGAGGCCGAGGTGGAGACTCTCTCTCCCAGCTCAGCAGTAGAGTTGGCCGCCCTGGTTTCAGAAAACCTCAGACATAACCAGTGATGCCTGTTGCAATAGTAGAGTGCCCGAGATAATTACAAAAAAGTTTTATTTGGACTCCTAATCTTAGAGGTTCCAGTCTGAGGTAGGGCACACCCATCACACTGCGCCTTTAGTGGGGACCAGATGGGAAGGGTGGAGGTTCATGGTGGCTTGAATGACTCTGCCCATGCCAGGAAGCAGAGAGACAGGACGGGGCCAGGGGCCTCACACGGCTGGGGCAAAGCTTCTCCGCAGTACCGGCACTGCCGCGGCCGTGACTTTCCCCAGGGGTGGACATTCCCCAGGCGGAGATGGGAAGCGCCCCCGGGGAGGCTGCCCAGAAGTGACAAATGTCTGGGTGGGGACTGTGCCTGGGGGGCCGCTGGGAGTTTCTACAAATGAGTTAGCAATGGAACCAGACCTGAGGACACGGCAGGGTGTCAGACAGTAACAAAGAAGGCTGGGAAGGGTCCCTGAGCTCATCCCTCCATGCTTGGGGAACCTGGGTGAGGGGTCATTCTGCAGGATGCTGACAGCTGAGCGCCTGGTCTGGAATCCTAAGACTTTGGTGGAGCTGATTCCTTGGTAGCTGGGTCCCAAGGAACATGTGGTGTCTGCCCGGATCCCCGGGAGTTTGGACTTGTCCAGCTCTTCTCTTTCTTTTGGGGAGCAGTGGGTGAAAGTACTAGAGCTTGACCCAGGGCCTTTATACTGAGCTACATCCCCCGCCCTTTTTATTCTCAACTTTTAACTTTGAGACAGGATGTCACTAAATTGTTAAACTGCCCCACCTGTGCTTGTAATTGTGCTCCTCCTGCCTCAGCCTCTCAGCGTGCTGAGACCACGGGCCTGCACCACCAGGCCCACCCGGCTGCCTCCGCTCTTTCTTCTGCCCTCTCCCCCGTCAGTGAGCGCTGTAGTCCACCTCTCCCGCATTTGCACCCTGTTCTTCTTCCACTCTAGCTGGGCCACCGTCCTGTCTCCCTTTCAAAAGAAGTTTTCCAGTGTCAGTGTCTGAACGCCGAGCTCTTAGACCACGGTCATTCGGAGGTGTCACGTAGGGTCTGCAGAGCGATTTCTCCGGGGGGAGCTCCTTGGGGGCTGACTGTGGCTTAGTGATGCATTCTTCTTCACACGTGAGGCCTTAAGTTCCAGTCACGGCAGTGTGCGTGTGCGTGCACACACACACACACACACACACACACACACACACAGGGCTCCCCAGCACAAATCCTACAAGGTTCACAGGGACTTTCTCCTTCTACAGCTCTCCACGGTATTCATTCCTTGGCGCTGCTGTCACAAAGAAACCAGTTGATTCTGCGGCTGCCCTGAAGGCCTAAGTCTGAAAGCAAGGTGTCAGCAGGGACAAACCCTGGGGGAGAACTTTCTGCGCCTCTGGTTGTATCCCGTGGTCATCAGCTCCATCGCCATCCCTGGTTGCGTCTTCACACAGCCATACTTCTTTTGTTTCTTTTCCTTTCTCCTCCTCTTCTCATCTTTTTCTTTCTTTCTTCCTTATTCTTTTCTTTTTTTGTGGACATAGGGAATGAATCACAGGCCTCTGCCCTGAGCTACATCCCCAGCACTTTTGATTTTTTATTCTGAGGCAGTGTTTCTCTAGGTTGCTAAGTTGCACAGGTTGGATGTGAACTTGTGATCCTTGTGCCTCAGCCTCCCTGCTGTGACAGACCCGTGCCATGTAGGACACCTGGTATCTCTCCTCTTCTTATAAGGGCGCCCGTCGTTGGACACCGCTCATGGGTCCACCTCACCCCTCTTAACCAACCGCATCTTCAAAGACCTTACTTTGAAAGGAGGGCACACTCTGAGGTTCCAGGTGGACGTGAGTTTGACAGGCCACTGTTAAGCTACTAAGCCACGGAACACCGTTTCCGAGGATACGGGGGTGGGGAGAGAACTGATGTGTGGTGCCCGATGGCCGAAGGAGCGACCCACGCAAGTGACACTTCCGCTCTCAATGCCTTGGGCAGGGCGGTCCCCTCCCCCCACCTGACTCTCAGACTGATGCACAGGAGCACGTGGTTATCTGAGGAGCTTCCCAGTGCCTGGATCCTTGCTGCACCCTGGTGGCCGGCGGTTTCTGGTCCTCACAGAGGCTGGGTGAAGATGTGGTGGATGAACCTGTGCCAAGAAGTCAAAGAAGAAGATGCAAATGTCCTCTGCCAGAGCGGGGGGTGGGGGGGGGGAGGGGGGGCAAGATGGCCCCACCCCACCCACCCACCGCACCTCCTTCTCCCCCAGCAAGAAGAAGAGAGAACTCAGAGGGAGATTTGCTGCCGGCGGGGAGATCCAGGTCTTCCCCGTAGCAGGATGTCCCCTGTGAGCTCCCCAGAAGCCTGAGAGCAGGGCCCGGTGTCGGGGTTTCCTCCTCTGCAGAAAGCCTCGGTCCGGGAAGGCGCAAAGGAGCCCTGCTCCCCCAGCAGGGAGCAAGAAGTCTAGCGCCGCGGAGGCCACCGGCCGGCTTGTCGTGGGCCGCCTATCAGCAGGTGGTGCTGTTCTTCCTCTGGGTGCGGCGACCTCCGCGCAGTCTCCAGCCTCTTCCGCACCCAGCTGAGCAGGGTGAGCGCAGCAGGGGCCGCCTGCTCCGCTGCTCCCAAGGGACTGTGTCCCCGCCAGCCCCTCTGACCCCGGCTCGCTGAGGCTGGGCCTGGGACACAGGGCTGCCCCTCTCATCCCCCCAGCCGCATCGCCCAGATATTGGGAAATGTTGAGTGAAATAAACCAGACACACAGCTCAATGTGGTAGCTCTCATTAGACGGAATCAAGCGGAAACAAAGGACGCGATAGAGGTGGGTAGAAAGGGACGGGGGGGGGAGGGGCTGGGGATTTAGCTCAGCGGCACAGCGCCTGCCTGGCAAGCGCAAGGTCGTGAGTTGGATTCCCGGTACCGAAAAAAAAAAGAAAAAGAAAAAGAAAGAAAGGGACAGGGGAGGGATCTCGTGCAGCAGGGAAGTGGGCCGAGGAGACCAGGGCGAGGGCTGAGGAGGAGGGGAGGGGATGAGAGGAATGAAGCAAAAACCACGATCAATAAACACTGTACGCCGCAACGTGAGCTAAGACAAATGACATCAGCAAGAACGGGAAAGGGGCGGGGGAATCGGAGGAGTGGAGAGGAAGAGGGAAAGGGAAGGAGGTGTAAAAAAAGAAAAGAAAAAGAAACAAGCCGCTCTACGCACGTGACCACTCCCCACAGCGACTGTAAACTGCATGAAATGCAAACATGCACTAATAACATTTTTAAAATTGTTTCTTAAAACCTGTTTACAAAAGTAATAGAAAACTCTTCAAATTTGGAGAAAGACCTTAACAGACAAGCAGTGCACGCGGAGCTCCCAAATGGGCACAATCGGAAAAGAACTCCACAGCGCATCACAGCCGGAATCCCAGCTCTCCAAGGTAAAGACAGACTCCTAAAAGCTATTAGAGAAAACAAACACCGCTTGTAAAGGTAAATGCGTTAGAACTGCAGCGTCGTTCTCAGCACAAATTTTACACAGCGGGGGGAGCGCGGAGCAAAGTGTTTCACGCCCTAAGAGAAAACAGCTCCCACCTCAGGCTGCTGGCGAGCACCCTGCAAAACCGTCTTGCAAGCTTCAAGGAGAAATAAGGTGTCTCCACGGCAAAGAGCACCTTGAGAAATTCATGAGCACCAAACCAGCACTCCAGAAGTTATTGAAGGTATCTCAGAAAGAGACAGTGAGCCCCACAGTGCCCCCAAAATCTAATGGAACAAACACGTGAAGGAGAGTTAGCAGTTAAGTAGGAGGGAAAAACAGAATAAGCGACAGGAGTATAATGCAGAGACAGGATTAACTCACTACCTTCCAGTAGTAACTTTCAGTGTGAATGGTAATGGTCTCAGTTCCCCAACCGAAGCACGGATTGGCAGGCGAGATCAAAAACAAAATCCAGCGGTTACCTGTGTGCGGGAAACTCACGTGCATGTGCGTGTGCAACGTTTCCATTCTTTTTTTTTTTTTTTTTTTCCTCCGGTACAGGGAACCGAACTCACGACCTTCCGCTTGCCAGGCAGGCGCTTTTGCCGCTGAGCTAAATCCCCAGCCCCTCCATTCTTTTTCTATCCCCTTGTTTTCCCTCCCTCTGCTCTTCCTCCATCTCTTAGTCCCCTTCCCATTTGCAAAAGATCTGCCTCCCCGTCTCCTGTTACCTGTCTTTCATTTTGCTGTTTGCTTATACTTTTAGTTGCTTGTAAAAAGAATCCCGCAGTATTTAATCTCGTGTGTCTGATTTATTTCACTCACCATTACGGTCTCAAGGCGCATTCATTTGCCTGTAAATGACTCAAGTTTATCCCTCCTTGTACAGAACAGCACTCTTCACCTGCTGAGGACACACAGGCCACTCCCAAGGTTGAGCTAGGTGAGTCGGGTGCTATGAACATGAGTATGCACGTGTCTCTATAATACCATGTCTTTAACTCTTCCAGGATGACACGTAGGGGAAGGAGAACTGGGTGAAATGAACTCTCTATTTTTAGTTTTTTGGGGATTTGAGAGGATCTTTTTTTGAGACAGGGTTTTGCTGTGCAGTTCAGGCTGACCTTGAACTCACTTTGTAGCCCAGTGTGGCCTCAAACTCCCAGTAATCCCCCTGCCTCAGCCTCCCAAGTGGTGGGATTTCAGGCATGTGCCATCATGCTCCCTTTATTTTTAGTTTTTGAGGAATCCTGACACCGATTTCCTACTGCTGCTAGTAGTTTATGTTGCCAGCAATAGCATAAAAACATTCTTTTTCCCCTATAACCTCATTATAGTTTGTCATTATTTGATTTCTTGATTATAACCATTCTTCCTTGAGTTAGATGGAATTTCAGCGTTGTTTTAATTTGCATTTCTCGGGGCTGGAGATTTAGCTCAGCAGCACAGCGCCTGCCTAGCAAGTGCAAGGTCGTGAGTTTGGTTCCCGGTACCGAAAACCCCCCCAAAAAAATTTGCATTTCTCTAATGGCTAATGATGTCAGATATTTTTATGCATTTATTGGCCTTTTGTGTTTACTCTGCTGAGAAGTGTCTACTAATTTCAGTTGCCCATTTTTTATTGGGTCTTCTATTTGGGGGGGTCTAATATTTTAGTTTTTTATATACTCGAGGTATTAGCGTTCTCTCTGAAGAGTAGTTCTCCCTGACTTTTTCACACTAGGTAGGTTATCTCATCACTCTGTTCGTTGTTTCCTTAGCTGTACAGAAGCTGTTTAATTTGATATAATCCCACTTGTTAGTTCTTGATATTATTTCTTGTGCAAATGAGGTCCAGTTCAGAAAGTCTTGCCTAAGCTTCTGTCTTCAAGAGTTTTACCTATTTTATCTTTCAGCAGGTTAAGTATTTCTGTTTTAATATTTAAAACTTCCATCGACTTTATCTTACTTTAATACAGTGTGAGATGTATGGGTCTAGATTTAACCACCCGCAGGTGTGGAGCCAGTTTCTCCAGTGCCATTTATTAAAGAGGCTGTCTTTCCTCTGGTGTACTGTGTATGTTTTGGGGCCCCTCTGTCAACGATCAGAAGGTTAAACGTGCCTGGGGTTTTTCCCGCATCGTCTACTCTGTACCACCGATTGGCAGGTCTTTATCACTGTAGCTTTGTGATATGACTTGGAATCTGGGATCTTGATGCCTCCTGCTTTGCTCTCCCTACCCAGGATGGCGGTGATAATGGACATTCTTGTCCAGTTCCTCATTTTAGATTAAAGCTCTCAGTCTCTCCTGCTGTAATATGATGTTGACAGCAGGTTTGTTGTAAGTGGCTTTTACCAGGCTACCATAAGGTCCTTATGTACCTATTTTCCTCGGGGTTTTTATCATGCATAAATATTGTATTTTGTCAGAGATTTTTTTCAGTGGCTATTGAGCTGATGATCAGGGGCTCCTATTTATTTATTTTTATTAGTATATATTTTCAGTCCATGCAGTTTACAATCATCTTGGGAGTGGGTACACATACTTATTACAGCTTGTTTCTTTCTTTAATCCCTTCCCCTTCCCTCCCCCTTCCCTCCCCCTCCTCTGTCCCCCCCGTTCTCTTTGTCATAGTTGTTATTATTTGTCTTAGCTCAAGTTATGGCACATAGTGTTTACATTTATTGGGGTTATTAGGTTCCTGCACCTGGCACATCTTTATTCTTCTTATTTCTCCTTCCCCTTCTCCTCCCCCTCACCCTTCTTTCCTTGGACCACTTTCCTATTGCAAAAAATCTGTCCCCTTGCCCCTTTCTATCCATCCTTTATCATTTTCTTTGTACTTTACCTCACTCAAATGAGAGCTACCACACAGTATGGAAGCTTGTGTATCCGCTTTATTTCACTCAACGTTATATGTTCCATTTTCCTTCAAATGTCTCAAGTATGTCATTCTTCACAGCCAAGTAGTATTCATTATATACAGACACCACATTTTGTTTATCCAATCATGTGCTGATGGGTATTCACGCTGCTTCCAGGACTTAGCTATTAAGAAGTGTGCTGCTACAAACACTGGTATGCATGTATCACTGTAGGATGATGACTTATGCTCTTTGAGGGTGATACCTAGCATGGAAGGTACCTGGGTCGTGTGGAATCTCTGATTTCAGTTCTTTGAGAAATCTCCATACTGACTGCCACAATGATTGCACTAGCCTACATTCCCACCAACAGTGCAGCAGGGTTCCTTTTTCACTAGAGCCATGCCAGCATTTGTTATTGTTATCCTAATGACTGCCTCTTTCTGGAGTAAGATAGAATATTAAGGTTGCTTTAATTTGCATTTCTCTAAGGGCCAGAAATGTTGAACTTTTTAAATAAATTTGTTGACCATTTGTTTTATTTCCTCTGTAAAGTATCTGTTCATTTCTCTAGCCTTTTTTTTTTTTTTTTTTTTTTGAGACATGGTCTCGCTATGCAGTTCAGGTTGGCCTTGAACTCATTCTGTAGCCCAGGCTGGTCTTATACTCACAACGATCCTCCTGCCTCAGCCTCCTGAGTGCTACGATTACAGGGGTGTGCCACCACACCGGGCACTAGCCTATTTCTCGACGGGGTCTTTAATTTTAGGTGGTTTAATTTTTTTTGAGTTGTTTGTATAATGTAGATATTAGCCCTCCATCCAAGGAATAGCCGGTAGAATTTTTTTCCCACTCTGCAGATTGTCTCTTTACTGTATTAACTGAATCTTTTGCTGCACAGAACCAAAAGAGCATTTGTTGATTTTTTGCTGCTATTTCTTGTCCTATTGCAGTTCTTCTTAGAAAATCCTTTCCTACACCTATGTCTTCAAGTGTTTTACCTATTCTATCTTCCAGAAGGTTTAATGTTTCTGTTTTAATGTTTAGATTTTTGATCCATTTTGATTTTAATTTAGTGTGTTGAGAGATAAAGGTCCAGTTTTATCCTTCTGCAAACACAACCAGTTTTTCCAGCACCATTTGTTGAATAGGCTTTTTTTCTGGTACCGGGAATCGAACTGAGGACCTTGTGCTTGCCAGGCAGACGCTTGTGCCTCTGAGCTATATCCCCGGCCCCCTTGAATAGGCTGTCTTTCCTCCAACATGTGCTTTGGGCCCATTTGTCAAAGGTCAGATAGTCGAATGGGTCTGGTAAAGTCTATTTATCCTCCGTTCTGTTCCACTGGTCCGTGTGTCTGTTTTTGCTCCAGTACCATGCCGTTTTTATCACTATTGCTTCGTGTTACAGCTTGAAGTCAGGTATTGCTATGCCACCTGCTTTGCTCTTCTTGCCCAAAATTACTTTTGCTATACTAGGCCTCCTCTATTTCCATATGAATTTTAGGATTGTTTTATCTAAGTCTGTAAATTTTGTAAAGTTGTTGGTATTTTGATTCAAACTGCAATAAAATCAGTATAATGTTTTTGGAAGTATGGCCATTTTGACAATATTGGTTCTGCCTATCCAGGAGCCAGGGGTGTCTTTCCATTTTCTGATATGCTCTTCAATCTCCTCCCTTAGGGTACTGTAGTTGTTGTTTTTCTTTTTTAAGAGATCTTTCACTTTCTTGGATAGGTTAATTCCTAGCTAGTTCAGTTTTCTTGAAGCTACTATGATTGGTATTGTCTTCATAATATACTTCTTATCCCGATCATTGTTGGTGTACACAAATGTAATGATTTCTGCATGTTGATCTTGTATCCTGCTACTGTGCTGAAGTTATTACATCTAAGAATTTCTTGGTGGAGTTCTTCGGGTCCTCTACGTAGAGTATCATGTCATCTGCAAATACCCGATGATGTGATTTTTGTCCTTGCCTCTCTTCGTGTGATATTTATTGATTTCCATTTGTTGAACCATCCTTGCCTTTCAGGGGTGGAGCGAACTTCACCATGACATGGGCTCTTTTCAAGGGTCGTTACATTGTGTTTGCCAGTATTTTGCTGAGGCTCTTTGTGCATGTGCCCATTAAGGAAATCCACCTATACTTTTCTTTTTTAGTTGAATCTTTGTCTGATTTTGACCTCCGTGGTCCTTTAAAAAAATTTTTTTAACTTCAAGACAAGGTCTAAATCACTGAGTTGCACAAGTTTGACTCAAACTTGTTGAACTACTGCTTCAGCCTCCCTCTGGGATTATGGGTGTGTTCCCGTGCCTGGCTTCTTTTCTTCTGAGTTCCTCGACCCTTCCCTCCTGTGTCCTCCTTCCTGGACCTCCTTCCTATCCCTTGTTTCCCAGTTTCCTCTCTTCTAATCTACTCCTCTTTGACCCGTTTTCTCTCTTCCAAGTATTTTCTCTTTTTATGCACCCCTTAACCCTTGGTTTTGTCAATCATTTCTCTTGTATTTTTATTCTCCTATGTGCCTGGGCAACCTTTCCTTTTCCCTTGCCCTCTCCCCCTCTCCTCCAGTGATCTTCAGGAGTCACCCCATCACTATGTACCCACACTCCCAGCCCTCACTTCTCAGTGCAGGAGGAGTCTGTCTTTCCTGCACTGGGTGGGGACTGACCCCAGGACCTTTGCACTGGCCCACACCCTCAGGCATGTTTTTCTTTTTTGCTTTGAGACAAGCTCTTGCTAACTTTCACAGGTTGAGCTCTATCCTCTTGCCTCAGTCCCCCAGACTGCCCTCCTACTTTTGCATTTTGACATCCTCTTCTTGGTACCCTCTGTCTCCTACCCAAAATTATTTCCTACCCTTTCTTTTCTGATTGCTTCTTCCTCCATGTATGTCCCTTCCTCCATCCTATCCCTTCTTTCCCACCTGGATAATTTTGCAGTGATTCCAGGCATTGGGAAGGCTGCTGCGGTACTACCCACTCTCAGCATCCCCCTGCTCCTCTCTCTCTCTGTCTCTCATTATAGAAAATGCAACCCTGAGCTGGACCAGCAGCCCCAAAACAGCAGGTATGCACCTGTCCGCAAGCTGAGCTTTGATGAACACAGGCAGGAGCCAGTGGTGGTAAAGGCCATGTGCCACCATGTCTGCTTGCACCTGGAACTGCATAGTGTGCTACTGACCTTCTGGATCTCTGGCAAGACGTAGCTCACCCTGCACCTGGAGCCACCACAGACTGGGGTCCAGCGCCCAGGCCCTGACAGGGCTGCTTAGTCTTTATGCTTCCCACTGCTACCTGCTATGGGCACCCTTGGCCAGCAACTGAGAGTCCACTTCGCCTCCACTTGCCTGCAGATGACGTGAGCAGCGGCCCTGGAAGCATTCCTGTAGTCTCACGCATGAGACTGACCATAAGCTCTGGAGGTTGTTTGCAAGTTCCAGGCCAGCCTGGGCAATGTAATGAGACCCTGTCTCAAAAATCTAAAAAGGCCAAGGATATAGCTCAATGGCAGAGCACTTACCTAGCATGCACAAGACCCTCTCCCCCTAAACGCTTGCTGAGAATTTGCTATACACCCGTCAGTTACTTTACTTGACACCTATAACTACCCTACCTCTTAGAAATTGTACGATTTCCATTTTACTGTTTCCCATGAATGTACTTAAGGTTATCTACCGCTATTGTGTTTCTGGGTCAAAAATACCGTGTAACAATTCTGGGGCTGGTGACATCACACCGGTATCTTGAAATCAGTGATGCTAAGAGACGTTACAGGAAGGAAATCAAAAAGTGCTATGATGGAAGCCTGATTTGCTGTTTGACTTACACAAACAACAACGAAATGATAAAGTTAAATCTGTGGATGAAACTTAGGGGTGGATCTTTTGAGTTGCGATTACATTGTACATAGCACAGAAAAGTGGAAGAAGCCTTTGTCAGGGGTTTCCCGTCCATTATGGGATTCGGCAAAGTTGTTGATGTTACTGACAATCGGTAAAGGGGGACGTGTGTCCTCCTTGTCTTCTTTCACCTGCTACTCAAACTTGGCAACCGGAAAACGGCTACGACTCAAAATTTTAGGATATATGAAGGAAAGTACTTTCTATGAATACAGTGATGGTATGGAATTTGCAATGATGACTGTTTTTTTGTGTGTGCAACCAAGTTGTTGTTTTAAATGTAAAATCCCCCCCCCAAATGTCTCATGTGGGGGTTTTGGAAGGTGTTTGGAGCATGGAGGTTCTACAAGTATTAGTTAATTTATCCACTGGTGAGTTCATGTGCTATTAGGAGGCAGGGCCTTGGTTGGAGGTGGGTCACTGGGGATGGGACCTGGAGGGAGCTGTCCTTGTCCCTGGATCCTCTTCTCTCTCCTTCCTGGTTGTCATGACAGCAGCTTTGCTCTACCAGGACTTCCCACTGTCGTGTTTCTGCCTTTGATCCAGCTAACCATGGACCGAACCCTGTGAAACCAAGAGCCCACATAAGCATCTCCTCCTTTAAGTTACAGGTGTTGTGTATTTTGTGCCAGCAGTGGCACAGGGAGTAATACGTGGGGATTGAGACCAGAGCCTTCACCCTGAACTGCCTCTCCAGCCCTGCTTAGTTTATATTTGGAGACAAGGCCTTGCTAAATCACTATGTTGCTGAGATTGTCCTTGAACTTAAGATCCTCCTGAATCAGCCCCCGGCGTACTGGGATCACAGGCATGCAACAGCATGCCTGGCTTCATGAATAATATATTATTGCAGACAGTCTGTGAATAAAGTAGTCTGGCTCTGTAAATAAATAGTCTGGCTCAAAATAAAAGGATATAAAGAAGTTGGGGTGGAGCTCAGCGGTAGATCCTGGGTTAAATCCCTAGTATGCAAAAATAAAAGATAAGAAGAGGGTGTGAGATCAAGTTCAAAACAGTCAATATGTAACGGTGCAGTGTGGAAGGACAGGGCAAGTCGTGAGAAAGATAATCACGGAGGAGGAGAAAACCAAGGCTCCAAGGAACGTGTTTCAAGAAGGAAGCTGCGTAAGGAGGAAGACTGTGAACGGACTAGAAGAGCCACCCTGAAACCTCCCAAAGTGTGAAAGTGGGGCAGGGCCTGGGGGGATGATCAGAGTATGCTGTGTGAGCGAATGCATCCGCCTTCAGTAACCCGTCGGTCTGTGTAACCAATAAAAAAGAGTGAGGAAGGAGAAATGCGGAAAGAAGTCAGATCACGGCTGGGGAAATAGCTCCGTGGCATAAGCACCTGCCTGGCAAGTGCAAGGTCATGAGTTCAATTCCTGGTACCACAAAAAAAAAAAAAAAAAAAAAAAAAAAGGAAAAAGGCAGATCAGGGTTTCCCCGGGGACAGTGACAGTCATGCGTGGTGAGCTGATCTGGAAGCCACCAAGTGTCCCTAGGGGACTCCGGAGTGACGAGCCCGTTTGTTACCATGATCGCGCTGGTGGGGTGTACACACATGCCAAACAGGATAGACTGTAACACTGTGGGCGTGCAGGTTGGCATAGATGTATTGCACCTCTTAATAAAACCTAACAGTGAAAGAAAAGGGGGGAAGTAGTGTTCAACAGCGTCTGGTACCACGGAGAGCCGGTTACCATGAGAGCAGGAGGAGGGTTACAGGTGCATCTGTGCGGCTGTGTTCAGTACTGGGAGTGGATTAGCTTGTATCGTAGCGGCTCAGCAAACTAGCAGCAGGGGGAGAACTGGAGAGAGCCTATGGAAACGGCAGTTTTTAAAAGTCATTACTTGGGAAGGATTCAAAATTTAAAGACAAGTCACAGCCGGTTGTGGCAGTGCACACCTGCAATTCCAGCACAGCGGGAGACAGGCAGAAGGATTGCAAATTTGAGCCTAGATCCTGTCTCAAAATATAAAATAAAATAGAAGGGGATGGGAATGTAGCTCAGTGCAAAGATCCTGGGGTCAGTCCATCGTACTGGAAAAAAACTGCATACATATGAGGACTACAAAGAACAGCTATATATTTCTTGTCCTGATTCATCAATCATTAAAATTCTAACCTATTTGCTTAATCATTTGCCCTCCCCATCCCTATCTCCCTGTCAATCTCCATTTTGGGTTTAGCTCATTTTTTGTTGCTAATAAAACCACAGACTAGGTAAGTGATAAAAAAAAAAAGAATGGCCAGGCATGGTGGTACACACCTGTAATCCCAGCACTCGGGAGGCTGAGGCAGGAGGATTGCTGCAAGTTCGAGACCAGCCTGGGCTACAAAGTGAGCTCAAGGCCAGCCTGAACTGCATAGCAAGACCCTGTCTCAAAGAGACAGAAAGTAAATAAAAATAAATAAAAAAGATTTGCTTTGGCTCCTAATTCATAGTGCAATGAAATCAGCAATCAACAGCAGAAAGAACCACAGAAACGATGGAGACGTGAAATTCTAACAATACACTCTGGAATAATGAGAAGATAATCTATGCAATCAAGGAAGAAAACACAAAGTTCCTACAATCAACCAATAATCCTAGAACAACACACCAGAACCTGTGGACACAATGCAAGCAGTCTTAAGTGGGGAAGTTTATAGCTGTGAATGCCCACATCACACAAACAGGGTGAGTCAAATAAAATACCTAACGATGCACCTCAAAGTCCTAGAAAGACACAAACAATCCAAAACCAAAGCTAGGACAAGGAAGGAAATTATAAAGATCAGAGCAGGAATTAATTAAATCAAGACAAAAAAATTAAATACTTAACGATCAACCTAACCAAGGATGTGAAGGACCTCCACAGTGAAAACAAGAGTATTCTGAAAAAAGATGATTGAAAATGAGGACGTCAGAACGTCAGAAAGAAACCCCCTGCTCCTGAACAGTCAGAACCAATATTACCAAAGTGACACACTTCCAAAACCAACAGAGATTGAATGCTACCCCAATCCAAACACTAACAGCATTCCTCACAGTAGTGGAGTAAAACAATCCTAAAATTCACATGGAACCAGGAAAGATCCAGAATAGCAAAAGCAGTCCTGGACAACAAGAGTGAAACAGGAGGCTCCTAAAACCCTGGACTTCAAATTACACCGCAAAGCTCCTGTGATAACAACCCTGAGGTATGGGCAAAAGAGCAGACATGTGGTCCAAAGGAATAGATAAAGGTTGCAGAAACAACCCCAGGTACCTCCATCCATCTGATCTCTGAAAAAGGGCCAAATACATCTCCTGGAAGAAACATAGCCCCTCACGCAAATATTGCAAAGAAAATTGGTTCTGCGTCAAGGCAGGAAGTCAAGGAAGCCGCGACTACACAAATAAAGAGCTGAGAAGAGTTCCAGGACATTGAGCCATGAGAATTGCAGGTGGAGGGGCTGGGGATTTAGCTCAGTGGCACAGCGCCTGCCTGGCAAGCGCAAGGTTGTGAGTTCGATTCCTGGTACCGGGGGAAAAAAAAAAGAATTGCAGGTGGGTTTGCAAGGTTTTTTCCAGTGGTGTGAATGAATTAGGTTGTTTCACAGAGGCTGGGTGAATTAGCAGCAAGAGGAGAATTGGAGATGGTTGGTTTAAATCACATCTTTAAAATGTCAATATCTGGGGGATAATTCACAATTTAAAAGCAAATTATAGGGCTGGGGATTTAGCTCAGCGGCAAAGCGCCTGCCTGGCAAGTGCAAGGTCGTGAGTTCGGTTCCCGGTACCGGAGAAAAACCAAAAAAAAAAAGCAAATTACAGCCAGCTTGGTGGTGTGCGCTTGTACTCATAGCGCTGTGGAAGGCTGAGTCAGGAAGATGGCAGGTTCGAGCCTAGCCTGGCAATTTAGCAAGTTATCTCAATCCTGTTTCTAAACAAACAAACAAACAAACAGGGCTGGGGATGTAGATCAGTGTGAAAACCCTTGTTTCCATCCCTAGTATGGAAAAAATTACATTTACATGAGGAACACAAAGAACACTCATATATATTTTTGCCCAGATTCATCAGTTGTTAATATTTTAATGAATTTGCTTTGTGATTCCCCTGTCTGTACTTCTGTCTCTGTCTCCATCATCATCTTAGTTCAGTTGTTAAGACCATCCCAGACCGGGTAAGCGTCAAGATGTTTATTCTGGCTGAGTGCTGGAGGTTCAAGGCTGAGGGTGAACACCTGGTGATGCCTTTCTTGCTGCCGGAGACTCAAGCTGGTGGACTGAATCAGAGAGACAGAGCGCGCATGCGTGTCCCTCTTGTTCCTTCCCTTCCCGTCTCCTTCCCCACTGTCTTAGTTACTTCTTTCGCTGCTGAGACAAAATACCCAGCACTCGGGAGATCAGGGAGGGAAGGTTCATTTAGCTCACGGTTTGTAGAGGTTTCAGTGCCTCGTTGGCTGGCCCCAAAGTAGGGTGGCATCGCAGAGGGGCGTCACAAAAACAAAACAATTTATGGCGGCCAGAAGGTAGCAAGGCAAGCAAGCGACAAACCCAGTGACAACAGCAACTTCTTTCTGCCCCTTTCGTATTCTGTCTACACGACCCAGCTTAGGGTGGACGCCAAACCAAACAGTGGACTAACTGATTAATCACACACAGCTTTGAACCCAGCATCACACACTCTGGATCCCGCCACCTCTGAGAAAGCCCCGCCTGTGAGCACGTGAGGTACCACGTGAGGCTTTTTGGGGGACATCTAGACATAGGCCCTCACACCCTTTCTCCTCCTCCTGCAGAGCTGGAGATGCAGCCCAGACCCTCGTTCACGCTAGGTAAGAGCTCTACCGCTGAGCTACATCACTAGCCTTTTTTATTTGTGTTTTTTGACAGGGTCTCTCTAAGTCACCCAGGTTGGGCTCAAACCTGCCGAAGCTCTCTAGTAATTGGGATTACAGGTGTGCACCATGGCACACTGCTTTTCTCTGAAAAAGCCACCAGAATTCAAACACAGGGCTCCACTTGGCTCTGCGAAGGCTGGACTCAAACGTGCAATCTTCCAGCAACAGCCTCCCGGATGGGTGGGATTATAAATGCACACTGCCAACATTTTTTCTTTCTTTTTTTTCCTTCTTTCTTCCCCGCCACTCCTCTTCCTTCTCCTTCTTCCTCTCTGTCTTTCCCTCCCTCCTTCCCTCCCCCTCTGTCTCCTTCTCTTTCTGTCTGCCTGTCTTTCCTTCTTTCTTTCTATCACTGGGGATAGACCCTAGGAGCTCCCACCTGATAGGGCATGTTCATTCACCTAGCTACAACCCTCGCCCAAGTTATTGTTGCGGTGAAAGCTAGAGTCTTACACACCTTCCCAGGCCAGGTGAGCGCATGGTGAGCACAGTAAATCCGCTCTGGCTCTCCCATCTCCTGCAGTCTAGGACTGCCCTTTCGTGAGGTGTCTGGGTTACTTTTCTCTCCTTGCTGAGACAAAATAGCAGACACCCAAAATTAAGGAAGGAAAGGTTTATTAGTTCACAGTCTGTGGAAGTTTCAGGCCATGATCAGCTGGCTTCAAGGCAGGATGGCATGGCACAGGGGCAATAGTACAAGGCGGCAGAAGACAACAAAGCAACAAGAGCAAAAGAGGGGGACAAAACCAGGGTCTTTTCTTCCCTTATATTGTGTATCAGCTGTCCGCAGACACCAGCACCGTCTCCCTGCCCTCCTCTTACACAAGCTGAGGATGTTCACAAAGTAACGACCCTGGCCCCCCGCTGAATCACTTAGCTGAACTTGGAAACTTCTCAAGCTGACACAATGCACAACATCCTAGAGCAGGAAGGGCATGCCCTTTTCACCCCAGGATGTAGAACTGCTGAGTCACTTAGTTCAGCTGCTAGACTTCAAGTTGACACAGCATATCAACCATAACCTGGGCCTGTTGTTAGTCAGGAATCCCCAAAGACCCGGACCTGTGTGCATACTGAAGGAGATTTGTGAAATATGGAGCTGACTCATACAACTACGGGGCCTGAGGAGTGCAGAAACGCAGTCCCAGGCCCTGAGAACCCGAGAGCTAGTGATGAACACTCATCCAAGGCCAAGGACAAGAGATCGGTGTTTTGGTTCGAGTCAGCAAGCGGAGAGAGGATTCCCTCTTCCTTTGCCTTTTGTTCTAGTCAGACTTCAACAGATTGGGCGAGGCTCACCCACACTTCGGAGAGCCATCTGCTGGCTCCAGACCCCCATCCAAACGCGGCTGTCACCCAGCATCAAGGTCCCAGAATAACGTTTAAGCAAATATCAGAGCACGCATAAAAGAGGGTTTGGGATGTCATTCAGTGGAAAAGCACTGGGTTCAATCCCCATGTATCCCCACGAAAACAACTGGACGGG